AATAATCAAATAACCAAGTTTTACGCGATTAATAAGCCATCGAGTTCCAAATAATTCAAACTTTTTCGTCACACATTTTTCTTGAACCAACCTGTTCCCTCGATAACACAGTCCATTAATTCCTGCGTGCATCTAATGCGATCCAATTTACCCGGAGATCCACCAGCATAATCCGTCCTCTGGTTTTCGAGCGGTCGCCTCTGAATAATGGTTCCGATCGTCGATCTATTTCTCCAAGACCGGACGAATATCGGCCAGGCCATCGAGAGTTAGGAGCCCCGTCGGGAAGCACGGGTGAAATATGTTCGGCAATTTTTCTTACCACGGGAACGAAAGTTGCATCCCGGTCTCGTACCTGTGTAAACCTTTCTATTCGCTACTTTTGCAATTTCCAATCTCTCTCTCTCTCTCTCTCTCTCTCTCTCTCTCTCTCTATTTTTCTCTACCTGGTTCATTCTGGTCAGGTAAAATCGACTCGAAATCCAGAGCAATCCCGAGAAGACACGCTGAGGGCAGACAGGGGAATCGGACAGGTCGATAGTTCGAAAGAGATGATGATAAATCGCGCCTAGGATGGGCTGACGCAATTTTCTAATTGCTGGCCGTAATTAAGGGTTATTCCAAGGACCGTCTTCCGGCTGGGGCTACCAGGAAATTGCCTGGCCGGTCCCACACCTTTTGTCCTCACCACTTTCTCGGCATTCTTGCGTTTAGTAGGTTTCTCGCTTCGACCAAGTCAACCAATTTGCTTGTTGGACCTGGTGCTATTAGAAAGTGGTTCAGTTTTATGGAAAAGGGCAGTTGTCATCCGGGTGACTCTTCTATTGTGTTAATAGTAGACAATCAACCTTGTACATTTTCTTTTGAAATTTTGGGAAGAATTGTTTTACATACTTTAAAATATGTAGGCACAAGAGAAAACGGAGAATAATCACGCTAAAAATTAGTTGCAATTATGGGAAATTTCAATACATTTACATAATTTCTAAACTAACAATTTAATCCTTCGACAGTGTAGCGTAAGATAAATTTCACATCTTAAACGTCATAAGGAATTGAGAATATGTATTTCTTATATCTAAAATGCCAAACATGCAAGAAATGTCGAGGATAAAGAAATATATCTACTTCCTCTGAATGTTCCATTGAAAATACCCAAAAGAACCGAATAATATCACTACTGAAAATCAATTTCCCCTACACATCTAGACATATACAAAACCAACTCTCTAGTAGTTTCAGGAATCCCAACACCTGTCCCACACGCGTCATTCAATCTCAAACAATGCTTCATACAGATTATCAACCGATCCTGCGAAGCGACGCTACCAGAGAAGATAAAATAGTACAGCAATAGAAAGAACCGAGGAGTCAAAATCATCGAAGAAGCAAGGAAACATGGCCGAAATCTTGGTTGTATCTGAACGTTCGATCTTCCGAGCGGAGAACGTGATTGCGATGCCTTATGACTTTCTTTCCCTTTTTTCCCCGGTTTGTCCCCGGGGCCCAGGCCGAAACCTGTACCGATATCCGGAGCCGCGTTCCACCGGAGACGACTTATAGCGGCCGTAGAAAGGTAATGGATCCCAATAAAGCATCGATACGTGTCGGTGTATATCAGGAGTCCGTGGGACGCGTCGCGTAAGGACTCAATACAAGCGTGAACAGGGGGCGCGGCGCGTCCAGGACGATGGGCCATCTCGTAAAATAAATCGGTGACATCTTGGAAGGCTGGTTGGGCGATTTGTGTGACGGACAAGCGACCGGGCTATACGGCCACCGCGAGACCGTATGAAGACGTCACTGACTCCGGTTCGAGCCTCGTATCGGCAGAATCATTTGTCAGGAGTTTCACGTCGCGCGGCTGGAGGTCTGTCTACTTCTGATCGACCCGCTGATTGACTTATTGTGCAGATCGCGGATAGTCGCCTGTCGACGTGACAGTGATGGCTTGATGGCCCCGCGCGCCACTGTACTGCACGCTCATGCTAAATTGTTTTTCCAATGTAATCAAGATTCGTCTCCTTCTTCCCTTCACGTTTCTTTCTGTTTGGTCAACTTCCTGGAGGAAATCGAAGGTTACGTCGCATCGTCTTCATATCTCTTGTAAGACATCGGTGTCGGGAATAGAAGATTATGTAAATAGCTAGTGGATGTTTGCAATTGAATAAAGGATAATCGAATAATCCTGAAGACGAGTGAAGCTTCATAGCGTAATCATCGTTGTAACTTCGTATTTGTCATTTTAATTTATGTAATTAAAGGAAGAGGAAAGAAGACTTCAGTCTATGTTTTATTGGGAAAATTTGCACATTTGCGGTTTTGACATAGCGTGGGCTATATGTTTCATGTTATTTTTCTTTTGAAGAATTACCGGTATTCGCTGTAGATTTTGTAGAAAGCGAATTTTTCCTCGCTTGTCGGAAAAGAGATTTCGACGAACGTATCGTTAGTTGTAGAACAGTATGTTACTGATATAACTAACGTTAAATTCCTAAATTTCTTCCACTTCCTGACATTTCGAAAGTTACATATAGCTTGTATAATCATTGAGAGTTTATCCGAGAAACAGTTCAGAGCTACAAGTTGCAGTTAGATATGATTTGAATGGTGTTCGTTGAATGTCAACGATTATGATATACGATGGGACAATAAAAATCTTTGCAGTAATTATGTAATGGCAACGAAACTTCATTAATCTCGAGCGATGCAAAACAATCTATAAGTTGAACCTGACGACATTTCGATGAGCGTAAAGTTGCGCTGATGCTAAATCACAGCCAGAGTAATTGCGCAATCAACAGGAGCCCTGGTACAACTATCAACGTATTAATTTATCATTATTTCATAGGCTATAGAAAAACATTTGTCATGGCGTACGTTATTCCTTATATCTTTGACTAATGATTAATTAAAAAGACATTAATCCGTGCGTCTTCATTTACATCCAATACACATCATATGTGTACTAAAGCGCCGATATACTGGAATATTCACATTTTTATCGTACGCAATTCTTATTTTAAACATTAAATTCGATTTTTCTATTGCTAAGTTATTGCACGAATATCACAAAGTTTTCAACTTCCGAATCTTCTTTTCCTAAAGAATGCAAGAATTTGGAAACAGAAGATTAAGAAGTTTGAGTCAGTATTGAAAGATTGTCCGTAATAGAATCGATTAGTCCTTTTCTAGGTCGACAGAAAAGTTACTTCGATCGGTTATTTATTGATAGTGAAGATCTGAAACTTCTAAATTTCCAGCCAAATACCTCATTTTAATATTGGTAGATAAGTTTCTCAAATCTGTTTTACACGCATCCCTAGACGTAGCTCATAAGCTCCTGAAACAAGGAGAAATAAAGGCTGAGTAGAAAAATGAAAGGAATAAACTACAATAATAAGAACACCTCTGAGAATCGATTAATATCGCAAAATCCAATAAATAGAAACTTATAATCCCCATTTATCTACCGCTATTAATTTCTCGAGATCTACCTGTTTCAGAGCTGTGAGGCTTACGTAAAAGCATACGTAATTCGAAGATCTTCGATCGGCAGAATCGTGGTCGAACGATAGTTGAAACGGCGCGAAAGGAGCAGCTAAGCCATAATTCAAGAAAAAGGGAGGCGAGCGGGGCACAGTGGAGTGCGTCACCCATTGTCCAAAGGCGGGTGTGGTTTGTCGTTGTTGGAGCAACGCGTAGGATGATCTACCTGGGCCATACCTTGCCCACAGCCAGACTTTGCTCGTCTCTCTAATGCTAATATCGTCTCCGAAATTGTACGAAGGCGAGACATGTCTGGTCGGCGAATTTTGCGACCATAAATCCATTAGCCACGCTCGTGAAAAAGGCTCACTGACAATGGGAATGGTGGCTTGACAAACACTTACAGTTTCTTATACTTCTTTTACCCTGAAAACTTTCTAATGAACTTAGTATTGACTCGTTTCATCGAATCGTTTCCCGATCGATCCTGAATCCAGCTCTATTACACGCTCATAGATCAGTTTACTTGATAAGAAACATAGACACAGGCACGTACAAGGGCCAACTGCTTATTATTACGAGAGAACGTCTAATAAAAATTACTTCCTCGCCAGATCTAGATCAGATAATTGGCCAGATTATCGCTGGTTTTATTTACCAGGGCTGTTTCAAGCGTACAAGTTGGTTCCACGAAAAAGAAGAGCCTAGTAGGCCTTTCGAGTAGCTCTCACAAAGGCTCTCGCGACTGTCATCATCTTTATTAAGTACGCAGTACCTTTCAGCCGGAGAGCTGGATTTCCAAGTCTCTTCATCAGTCGTTCCGCTTAATCGGGCCCCGAAATCTTCCGTCCAACGAGAATTACCCAAATCATCGTTCCCCGAAAGCGGCCACCAAAAACGTGCCCATAAACTTCTCTCGAGTCCTCCGGAACAGAAACGACGTTTTCTGCATTTATGGGAGACGTGCTCCTGTCGTTGAATGACACTGCTATCAGCCAGCCAAAATCGCCCGTATCAATCTCTTCAACGGACAATTGAAATTGACACCGAGTCAAGGGGAGGAAGGTCTCACACCCGCATCCTAAATTGTATCAGCGAATCAGTCGCGGTCCTCGGTCTATTCGGGCCGATTTCCACGATTAACGCGGTGTGCACATCCAACACCGTCATCCAATAAATTCTCAAATATTAATCACGACCTTTTTTCCTACCTACCACCCTCGCTGGGGTTGCTTTGTGTTATTTGAAAATTTATGGCCGTTTAGACAAAAAAGAAAAAAAAGAAAAGGAAATATATTAGGATGATTTTATTGGAGCTTTTAGAGTTCGATACCTGCGTTTCTTATGATGAGCATTGTGGCAAGAATGGAAGGCTATATGGAGCGATTGATACGCTAAATAAAGCGTTTTTAAACATGGAAAATGATTTGTTTTCTACTTTTGAGTTTCAGGACGGTGGTTAAATTGAAATAAATCTTTTTAACGTAGAAATATAAATACAGGTTACTTACTCGTACTGCGCATTCACTGGTCAGAATCCAGGTGTTCATCAAAGGTGCTGTAACAAATAAACGTAAGAATACACGATTAGTCAGTTTCATACAATGCTAAGTTCGTGTTTCATCAATTGTCGTAATGTTATTCAAATGAAGTTTAAGTATCTTTAAGTCAAGTGCATCGCATTTTGACACGCAATAAAAAATAAAAGATAGAAACCCATGAAACGCCCCGACCTCTGAAGCAACTTTGTCCAAATAGTTTCTATTTTTCAGCTGAACGAAACAATGTTTTCCCTTTGCGCCAAAAATGCTTTGCTAGCAACATATTAAAAAGAAAGAGGAAAGGAAAAAGAAAGAAAAATAGATCTCATACAACGTTGCATCGTTCTTCTTCTTGGGGGCAGCACGGAGGTGTAAAACGCGGAGTTTTCTCGGCGACGTAAATGCCGTAAGCGCGATAAATTTCCCGTCGGGAAGGGAATTCCAAAAGTTTCCGATTCAAAAGACGCCGCGTGGAGAAGCGGGGATGCGAAGGCGCAGCCATGAATTATGCATGAAAGCTTCGATTCGCGGATTAAGCGAGCGCAACCCGTGGTTCTAGTGTCTATTCTTCGTCCTGAAAGCCGAAGCTAGCCAACCGGAGCTGTCCGTGGCGAATGTTGAAAGATTCGGACCGTAGAGAATGGATAAAATCGTCAAAGGGACCAGAATCTATGAAAGCATCGCCAAAACGATCCAGTTTCCTTTGAATAACTCCATCCCTGCACAACTGCTCTTACTACATCAAACAGTATCACGATCGAAATTACATTCGTCACGTTTCTGTCTTATCAGATACGTATCGAGTTGCTAAAAAATTGACTTTCCTAGTTTCAGTATTCTACTAACAAAACGACGATGTATTTCTTCGGAACTAATTAACCCTACGTGTAACTTAATATAAAAAATAATAAGGTAATAAATATTTTACAGCGATTTCTAATATTCCCGATCGTTAAATCTTGCCAGCGTACTTCCACGAAACCATTTAGTTTCTCCTCCGCGTATCGATAACGATCGGAGGGCATTATCCTCAGAGAATAATTTATCATACGAAGAAACACCAACCATACTATTTCAAGCGGAGCCGCCGAAAAAATGTGGAACTAGCGAAGATCGATCAAAAATTTCTATCACGAATGAAGGCGAACCGGTACCGGGGACCGTTTCGGCGGCTCAACCACATCAAAAACCGATCGCGCGGGTCTCCAAGACGCATCATAATTATCATGGAGCCCCGTTTGCGCGGGTGGAATACGAAGCAGCCGGGGCAGCCAGCAAGTCTCTTCTCTCTCGCGGTATCAGGCATTTCTATTTACGGCCATGGGCTCCCGGGGCCGACGAGTTATGATATTGTTTCGGCTGCTTCTCGGAATCTACGCGATCGGTGACTCGGATAAACCCAGAAAGGGAGAGAAAAAGAGAGAGGGAGCGAAATCTGCCTGCCTCCGCAACCCTATCTCGGTGCTTTCTGTACCTTCCGACCGGTTGGACCGCGGACAGAGGGAAGCGGGGTCAGACGGAGGTATACACTTTTATTTCTTCATCAGGCAACGCTCAACTTGCCTACCTTTTATGATCGTCTGACTGCTTCATCAGTTCACCAACTTTCCGAACGCTGTATGCCCAGTCAGGTTCCTGATTTCATGGTGTTCCTTCCTCTCTCCCTCTCGCTCTTTTTTTCCCAACCGTTCTATCTTCCTCGCTTCCACCTTTTTCTTTCGTCTCTGTTTTCTCTGGTTCATTGCTTGTTGCCGCGGAACGGATTTTTCTTTGTGCTCCACTGGAACGTTTGGATCGCGGATTTCACGGCAATTTGGAAATTGTTACGCGACAAGCTCGACCGCCCTTGCAACGGGCCACGAGCCGGTGAATCGCGGAAATTTTTCGTTCCACGTTCATCGAATGAAAGAATTTGTATCAACTTTGCTGCTCGAGCTACGTATCGCGTTTACGGATCAAGTTTAAGGCCGAAATATCATGCCCATTCCCTTTAGAACTTGTTTGAAATGTTTGTTGTGTTAATAGAATTATGCCATTCGATCACCTGCATCGCTATTTTCACGCTCACAAATATCCTTCCGAAGGGTCTGAAGAAACGTTATATAACAAAGATATGGATCACAAGAAAGAGAATAAAAAGAAGACGACTGCGCTTCTCGTAAAATGACAAAGTTTCTTTGTACACCGATTGGATCTCCCAATATGCTAAACGAAACCAAACTATTACAATTTTTTATGTACGAGATCCAAATGTAATGTGTACACAAGTATATTTGGAGTAACTAAACAATACAAAAATAATAATCAAAACCTCCCTGATATATCTTCCAAATTTTATAGCAGTATTTCGATTAACTTGAAAAAGACCGATCAATCTTTGCTTCCATTTGCTGAAATTACTCCGAGTAATCGTTGTCAAAGGTTCTCAATAATTTTGATATCAAGTTAAGTAGTTAAGCTCAATTGATTAATAATTATGCATAGTAGGTGATTATGGTCGAACGATTAAATTCGGGAAACAAGTTGACCGTGGCCGACTGCGCGAATCGTCGCGATAAATATCTCGGTATTTAAGAGAAGGATATCCAACTGACGAAAACGCACGTGAACCCGTCGAGGCGGCACTGTCCCTAGAAACGAAGTGCAGTAAAACGAAACAGCGATGACGCGCACACGTGTTCGACACGATTACTATTCCGCGGCCGTGCCTGTCCGGTGACTTATGTTAATGTTGTAATTATATCATCCTAATCTACCGAGTCGCCGCGTATACATAGCCTACGTGTCCACATCCTATCAAATACCCATCTTGAAAACTGCTATACGTGCCAGAATGCAAACTCCACAGTTGCGAAGCGAACTCGCGTTTCTCTGAATCTCACGGACACACTTTGCCCGTTTCAGCTTTTCAGTCTCCTTCGTTTCGTTCCGTCTATCCGCTCCTCTCTGTGTTGAAAGAACCGTCGTGTTAGGGCGGATAAGTGGTTGGAAAACCTCTGGACGGAAGTAGGTTATGTGAACGCGAAGGGGTTTGACCTAGAAAAGTTCCACCGTAGTTCGGTGGATCGTCGAAGTTCCGCTTTTGAAGAAGATCGAGCCGTTTCGAATTATTGCGCTTGCTCTTCTGCCAATAAGTTGAGACGGTTCCTCCAGTTAGAAGGAACGTATTAAGATTCTCGGTAATGAGAAGTTTCGTTAAATAACATTCCTTGGAGATCATTGTTGTGGCTATGTGATTGACGAAAAGTTTTCAATTAACCTGATTTTTAAAAGCTCGATTATCAATATCATAATTTTCGATATCGTTTATACGTAAAAAAATGAAATATACTTAAAAACTTTCAGAAATCACATTACAAGATACATTTTTCGTACATTGACATTAACAAAAGCTACAAATATACCTACAGAAACGTTTAAATCATAATTTAACATAAAAGTATCATGTGTAACGTTGAAGTGAACTTTTCATCAATTATTCACAACTTTAAGTGCAACATAACGATACCTAATTAGCCCTGCGATTATGTTTGATCCTATCAACGTTGCCAAAGTTGTCCAACCTTCGTTGCTGGAGAACTTAAGCATAATCAAATTCCAATAATTCACGCTACCCTAACAGTTTTCCTAACCACAAAACGGGCCGTTTTAACCCTGAACAAAAGTTGATGCAGAAAAGGAGCGGTAGTTGAGAGAGCAATGGCGAATATTCGGCGGAGGGAAAGAGAGGCGAAGTTCCCAGAGAGTTATCCTAGGTTAGTTATGGCGGCGACAGTCCCCGCGCGCGGTTACAGAAGTATTTGAATGGCTGTCGGCCCTTGTAAGACGTCAAAAAGTCAAAGGGAAACCACTAAAATCAGTTAGGGATCTCAACTATGCGTGAAAGTAAGAGGGGACAAGAGAGAACAGACTCCAACGACGAGGAAGGGACTAGGAGATCACACGAAAGGATCGGCGGAGTTTATGGAAATTTTTTTTCCCTCAGAAAAGGACCGTTACACGCGTTTCGCCTATTTCCGTGGCACGACCACTTATTGGCTACATTTTGTCCTTAAGACAATAGTTTGTCGTTCTTTACGACCCCGCCGATATCTCAGTTCGAGAATTATTGTCCGGGAATGTGTGTCCTTTAGTCTGTAAATCGTGAAATATGTCCCGACCCATGCGACCTACAGGAAACGAGGAAAACGAGAAGCTGAAATCTCAATGCGCTATCAATACAACGCTGCACTTTTTCGTTACGTGTATCGTACGGAAAAACATCATCTGGATATTCTGATCGTGATATTCGTCATTGTTATTTACGTAATATATGTTGAAACGAAAAACACGGTTTTTAATAATTAACCCTCTATAATTATAAGAAATAAACATTGTTCATTTCGATGATGTGATTTGGATGAAGTATACGTTTACTTTCAAAGCTGATGCAACTAAGAATTATTTTCACGAACTCATAAAATTTCATCGGTGGAAATCAATCTAGATTCACACGTTCTTATCTGAAAAACAGAAGAGGGAGAGAGACAAGATTAGCTAATTCTACACCATAAAGATCAATTAGTAACAATGGTGTTCAATCTGCTCCGCCATTGAAGAGATTAGAAAAGTTGAATGGCACGTGCCGTGCCGCATGTTTCCCTCATCGACAGCGAAACGAACGCTTCAAGTGCATCAGACTTCATTTGATCGCGTTCCAAGAACACGCGCACGATTCTGTGCAGCATGTTACCCCATACACAGCAAGGAAGGGAGAACGAGAGAACGGAAGAAGGAAAAGGACATGGCCGGTAGAGCCGCGGCGTTGCGAAGATGCGGATACATTTTTTACAAAACGTTTCTCATTCCGCGGCGCATTACTAGAGGAACGAGAGAGGGATGATGCGCGAGGAGAAGCTTGGACAAGGAGCAGGCCACGAACGGAAAAGAGGGAGTGGGAGGGAAGGCGAGCCTGAACATTTCGTGAAACAAGGAAAAATGCGACTCCACCGAGGCACGACCGCAGCATTTTTGTCTTTACAAAATTATGTATTCCGCAGGCCTCCGCCATATCTCTCAAAGCATAACAAGTTCCCTCTGTGTCTCTCTTGCCTCCCTCCTACCCACCCGCCCTCCAACTCACCCCCCTCGACCCACGACCACTATTTCTTCCTTCTTCGCTCTTCTCGACTACGACCCACGAGATACCACCGTCCTTCTTTCATCTTCCACAGCTCGTTTGCTCTTTCTACCAGCCCCTCTCCTCTTCCTTTTCCGGCCGTGTGCTCGTGGATCTCCTCGTCCCATCCGCGCACACACCCACAGCGCGGCGTGCCACGTCTTTCCGCAGATCCACGTCCATCGTTTTCCTACGACGTAGAGTCCGTACGAACGCGAGCCACAGCTACCGAAATCGAATATCCTGCGGGAGGAGAAGCTCGACCGTGGGATAGTTCAGCCTGTTCATCGTGAACACCAATCCTACGCTTTGATTTTCTCGCTACCTTCTACCTGGTTAATAATCCCTTCAGCTGCCCTATACTGGATTGAAACGCTTCCATGTCTCTACCGTTGGATTGGAAGGTTCTTAAATTTCCCGAGTCTAAATCGACTCTTGGTTATGTTTGCACTGCTGTTTGTACTGCTGTTAAGTTCGTTAGACTCGAAGGGGTTTCGCTGGGTTTTTAAGTCAATTTGGTGTCGTGTTTCTTTGTCGATAATGGTCCTCATATAGTAGCAATATAGTAGAAGCATTTTATAAATTAGGGTCTTCGTCCTAATCAAGATGCATTAGTTTCGAATCTTCAATATTGTCATGATTATCGACTAGAGTCGAGTACGGCTTTTACAACAAAAATTAATGAAATATTATTTTTGTTATGTTAGTAGAAAAATTCAATAACTTCGAATATTTCGCTGGAAATAATAAACAATCAAAAAAGATTGGCGCTTATATGGAGTGGCTGTAACGTTACTAATCGTCGTAGCATTGCAAGATGCGTTGCAAGTAACTTACACTATGAATCTAGAAAGTTGTATCGAAATCTGCGTGTCACACTTGGTTAATATTCCTGTTACTGATTCATCTAAGTTGCTCAATGGTTCGCACAATACGACTTCAGCGAAGTAAGCCTTTAAGCCTACCGTCATGTCAGAGGAATCCACGATTTCATTGAGAGACGAGCCAGTTAACACGAACCACGGTTGCCACCGTAAAATTTTCGTTTCCAGATCACGGGGGATCTGGTTTACTGGCGGAGCAGCTTGGAATCGGCGCGAACATCGTCGGTTTCCACGATAGCCCATGTTGTAGAGCCTCGTAACGGTATCCAAGACAGTTCGTGAAGATTTCAGGTCTCGATCGGCCGATGTTCGAGGAATTCGACTGTCGGCCGCGCGATCGGCAATGGTAGACGTTTTGTAGGACCGTTAGACGGTTGTTGACGAGCAACTGTTTGGACATTATGCCCCGCTTCTCTGTAATCTGACCGATCTCAGCCGGTGTTCCTTACGGGGGTTGGGGCGGCTGGTCGTGTGGCGATCCATTACACCTTCCACGCGGTATCTTCTCGCAGCATCTAAGACAAAGTCTCTGAAGAAGGCGAACAAGAGAAGGGGGAGAGAAAAGGTATCCGTGTCAAACGAGGAGGGCCACGGAAACTCCCCGCACCCGACGACATTGACGGATTCTCGTCGCGGGCTCGATGCGATCAACGCCATGCCGATCTATCATTCCATTCGAACAGTGCTCGCCAACTCCTATTAGAGTGAATGATCGCGTGGAACGTTTCTTTATGCTATTCGAGGGATTGTCTCGTTACTTAACAGAACATACAGCGCGCGGTTACAACGATGATACGATCTCCAGAGATAATGCAAGGTCTTGCACGAAGGTAAACGAATAGTGGAATGAAACAATTTGGAGAACATTGACGTCGACTAATCGAAAAGTTTGACTTTCATTTGCGATCGTAGATAATCCCAACGAAATTTCAAAATTGTATTTGTTCCTTCAGAATTATTATATCACTGAAATAAGTTTCAAACGTTTTATTCGACGAATGGTAATCTAATAAAGACATTGCTGAGTATCCCAAAATTTCATGCTTTTTGAAGGTTGAGAAAAGCGAAAGAATGAAGATTGAACATAAATCATTCAATTAGCATGTGGTGGATTAAGAACACAAGCTACGCTTTCTGCAATAAATAAGAATTTCATTAAAACTTTTGTGAAAGATAACGCCTGATATATTTTAATGACGCTGAATCGAAAACACACGGAGCCATTTGCGGTGTTAATACTTTCTGAAATCTTATTCCTGGGTCCCTACTGTCAGTCATTCTCGTCAGAAAAGCACGTCGTTAATCGGACCCAAAAACACACCTAACGAAAATCCTGATTCCCGGGGATTTTCAAATTTCATAAACAACGTTCGTTGAAACACGATATTTGCGGCTGTTATCGTCCCGTGGTATCTCCGTCTAACCTCTCGAAATTTCATGAAAAAAGCAATCGCCGCGAGGACCCGTTGTAATTCGCGATTGGCCTCGTCGAGGAACGACTTTATTGGAGCTCCATTAAACGGGAAAAGCAGCGAACATCGTGCACGTATATGACCGTCATAAATCGATCGTTGCGCAAATTGCCTTGGCCCAACATCTGGCATCGTGTTTGCCTATCAGTCGGATCACATTCAACGGCGGTGAAGGACAGAGGAACCGGGAGGAGATCAGAATTCGATAAAACCGCTCCAGACCCCGGTGTAAAGTGCTTTACCGCGCTCCGGAGCAGGAGGTAAATTGCGCGTAGTGCTGCGTTCGGATCTTGTAGGAACGAGTTTCGCATTTTACAGGCGTGTGATCGTTCTACTAAACGACCAATCGAATCGTACTGGATCCCCCGTTTATTCGCTCCTCGAATGGATCCGTTGTCGGGCTATTTACTCTTCGAGCCACGAAAAACGAACGCGCGAGCAACTCTGTTCTCCGTGGTCGTCCCGTCGTGCTTTTCTTACGCGCCAATGCGTCATGGCCATGGCCACGTTAACGTTCGTGTTTTCTGAAGATGTTGCTTGCCTTTGGATAGTTCCTTCAATGGGCTATGAGTAATGCTCCGAAGAACATTTTTCTGGCTGTCCTCCTCTCGATTGCCCGCATCTCTCCCACAGATTCCACGCTTTGCTGGAATTAAGTTCGCCGAATGCGGGAACATCATATTGGATGAAACGTCGGTTTACGTCGATAAAGGGTTGTTGTCAGACAGTTTCAATTATATTGCGTTTAACTTTATAATTTTTTCTGCTATTTTCTTTCATTAACGCGAATGAGTTTTA